CATGCTGTTTTGTTGGGTGAGTTGTTGGAAGATTGCTTTAAATTCTTCAAGAAAGTTGGTTAACAAATTAGCTGTATTTGGGTTGTTAGTATTTTCCTAAGTATGTGATGTTTTGTTCTTGGTTTCCCTTCCCTTTAAGTGCTTCTGAATAACTGATTCCTAGTTGTAACTGAGCTGGTTGACTTTCGGTTAGTGCGTTGTGTTGAATGTTTAGTCTATTGTTAGTGTTATTTGGTTGTTTCAATAAACTGATAATATTCACATCCTCTGTAATTAGCTGGATGTGCACCTCCACAGACTACACATTTTGCAGCGTGTTTTTTGAATTTTTTGCAGCTCTGTGTGCTGTGCAACTGACCACATTTTACACATACACACGATTTGTTACAATATGATTTTGTATGACCATATTATCGGCGTCGCATGCACTGTGGGATCCCTTTGGCCTTTCATGGAGGTTCTACTACAATTGTTTTGTTTTGTAGTGCTGCTAGTTTGTACATTTCTTTGTTGTTAGTGTAATAAAAGATAAATCAATTTTTTTCCATACATTGTTTCAGGTAGAAAAAGCTTTTGTGGAGATTGGAACCTTGTCTGTTGCGATAATTATGGTATGCACCCTTTTTGCGGCTGGTAAGTAAAATATTGTCATGTGTTATTGACTAGAAACTGGGTTTTGAATTATTACTTGATTTACTGAACAGTTATGACTCATAACTACAAATGATTATAATTTACACACACTATAAATAAATACAGCATGCACAAAAACTTAGGAGCTTGTTATAGTCTTCACTGGTCGTTGCTAGGTAACATCAAACTCAAGTCACATCGCGACCGATGAACGGTCATTCCTTTCGTTTTGGTTTCTGACCCCCCTCTGGGGTTCATGACCAAGTCTTAGTTACTTAACAGACAGTTACGGTTATTTCGATATGGGTCGGCCTCTCTGACGAGAGGACAGATCTCACATTTTTCGAAGTCATTGACCGTCTGTTGTCAGTATATTCTGATTGTTTGCAGGTTTACATGTATAGTACATAATATAATTATGTACATATATAGTAGCTGTGAAGTCCTTTATTCCCGATCTAATATCCCATCTTTTTCACACCTTTATTATATATAATCTGCACAGTGCTATAAATATATATATTCAGTAAGTACTGGCTCGTGAATCAGTTATGCCCAGTGGCGTAAGTGATACTCATTTTTGTTTTCAGTTATGATTTGAATGCTTGTATTGGGGTTTTACTCAGGTCCCTCTTGTAGAGTTAGGATGGTGTGTCTTCTGAGTCTATGTGTAGTTTCACTATTGTCTTAACATTTTTGCTGCTAGTGCATTTGTGTTCTTTTCTAATTTTCTTAAGAATTGGTATTCCACTTTTTTATTTCACTGAGCACTGTTTCCATTTGGAGACCTTCATGGATCCTGTGGTTGTTTATGTACGAAGGTGTGTTCCGATGGGTCGGAGGGTCTTGGATTGAAAGCACTGGAGGATTTCGATGGTTGAGCTGTTTTCTTTTGGTTTTGATGTGCTTTTCCCATCTCAGTCTTCTATCGAGA